TGCCATTAAATATTTCACCAATTCAAGATGTCCCTCTTGAGCAGCTTCCATTAAAGGTGTAGAGCAACCAAGTTCTATGTCAGCTCCTGCCTTAATAAGGAAATCAGCTACTTCAGAAAATCCTCCACAGCACGCCAGAGTAAGAGCTGTTTCTTGTGTTTCTTCTGTCTGTGCATTTATATTTGCTCCTGGGGAAAAATGATCTGTTAAATGGTCTGGCCAGACAAGTCAAGGAGATGGGCACTCATTTTCCTGTTCTGCCCCCACCCGCAGCCTTTCGCAAGAAGTCAGTGTGTGATAGTTCTATGTTTTCCCTATCAAGTAATAGCCATGTACTAAATCATCACACACTAACAACTTGCAAGATCAGTACTTAATCATTCAAAGTGAGATTATGAAAGACTATGTAGTTGGAATAACCACCAGAAAAGATTTAATGTAGAGTAATTCATGTGATTAAACCATTTTCTTACCCTGCGCCAGTAGCAGTGCTACCATCTCCTCATGCCCTTCACGTGCAGCTTCCATCAGCGGAGTATAACCTTCATCATTAACTTCCTCAAGATTTGCTCCCCTTTCTATTAGTAGTGCGGCTAGTTCCACATGTCCACCGCAAGCAGCTAATGTAAGTGGAGATTCAAATGAATCCGCAGGCATGTTGACTTGAGCACCACTGTCTAGAAGTAAACGAGCTACTTCCACGTGTCCATCCTAAGAGCAGAGTAATTGAAAAACAAATGAAGTCAGAAACATCCCAATGTAGCAAAGACACCACTGTTACAAATGTTCTCATGAACGTCCATTTTTGGACTCTGGTAAGATCTCTTTCCAAGACAATGTCTGAGAATTGTAACAGTGCATCTATCTCACTCTGAAAAAAAATCTGCTTTCTTTTCGTAACTATAAATCTCATAACATTAATAATGGCAATTCTTTTGCATAATAATCCAAAAACTGCACAATTTCTAATTGATTGGAGATAAAATTTAGTAATTTAGATCCAAATGCTTTATTTAATATAAGAGCTTTGGAGCAAGAACCACACCTTCTTGTGTATCTGTATAGCATATTTTGGGCACTATCATAATACAGCTAGTAAATTATAATCCAGCACACAATTACCAGACAGTTTAATAATGAATACTCCAACAGGAAGCAATCATGGAAAAGCAAATTTCTTTCTGGATTGGCTTATCACCAGTATGGACAAAGAACATGCTAACTTCCATAGATACTACATTACTAGGGAACTATTTACATGGTTATGTCTACACTGCATTCCTCTTTCGAGAGAGGAATGCAAATGCAGGCAAACAAAATTGCAAATGAAGCGCAGATTTGAATTTCCCGCGCTTCTTTTGCATAATTGCGTCCGGGCGCTATTTCGAAATACCTTCTTTGAAAAAAGAAATGCTGTCTAGATGCAGTTATTTTGAAAGAAAACCCTTCTTTTGAAATTACCCTTACTCCTTATAAAATGAGGTTTAAGAAAGAAAACCCTCTCTCGAAAGAGGAATGCAATGTAGACATACCCCATGAGTTTAGTAATGAAAGACACCAAACATATCAAACAAAGGGTTATACGAGTTATCTAAAGCAAAACCAGTTCCATGCATCGCCACTGGCAGTTAAGGAGGAACTGAGGGTTGGGTGAGCACATAGCCCCAATACCATGCCCATGGAAGTGCCACCTCAGGGGTCACTAGTACGGATGTTAAAATGTGTTTTTGGTAAATGTATAACTGTTGAATTTTTCAGCGAAGTGGACAGGCGCTGCAGACAGGGGAGTCTGGAGAGAGAGTTTGACAGAGGGAGGCCTACGATGGTCAGGAAGACCCACAACACCTGTGCCAGCACTGCTTCTGTCTCCTCCACCAGCACCTGTAGCCAGACAAGAGCACCTGAGCATGGATGCCTCTACCCAGATCCTAGTATGGTTTTGCAGGGAATGTGGATTTCAATTCCCACTTATTGATATCCAGGCTGGGGAGGTCATCCAGTACAAAAAGTGCCTGCTGGTAGAATCTCTCAGGCAGCAGGTGGCAGAGCTACAGGAGAAGGTAGCTAGGTTGAGGAGCACCCGCATCCATGAGAAATTCCTGGACCGTGTTCATGAGGAGACAGGTGAGGTAGCTGTCCCGGACTTGATATGGTGATTCTTTCTCTCCACCCCTGCTCCAATACCTCCCGCCGTGGTACTAAGAAACTGTTATGCTCTTCTTTATACAGGAGATAAGGAATCACCCCCTACAATGGAGGAGGAGAAGCCTCATACTCCCAAGGCTGGGAGGTCTGCTGCCGCCACTGCGAATAGGAAATGTAGAGTAGTGGTGGTTGGAAACTCTCTTCTGAGGGGTTCGGAGGCGCCCATCTGTCACCCTAACATTTCATCTGGGGAGGTATGCTGTCCGCCGGGGGCCCATATGCGAGATGTTATGGAGGCACTGTCGAGGATTATCCGGCCCTCTGACTACTACCCCATGCTACTCATCCACGTGGGCACTAATGATACTGCAAGGTGTGACATGGAGTGCTGTAATCACTCTTGATCTGCTCAGAGTATGGATGAGGGGGTTTGGAGTGCAGGTAGTATTCTTTGACAGGAAAGACTGAAGAGGTAGGGGCCCAGGCAAGAGAAGTGCATACTGGAGGTGAATGCTTGGCTGCGAAGATGGTGTTGGTAGGGGGTTGGTTTACTCTACTACGGGATGCTATTCCAAAGACTGCTAAGCAGGGATGAGGTTCACCTTTCGAGGAAGGATAAGACATTACTTGGATGAGAGATTCCAAAAGACTGGAAAGGGGCAAATCTAATGCCCATCTATAAAAAGGGAATTAAGACCAACCCTGGAAACTATAAACCAGTCAGTTTACCTTTTGTGCCAGGAAAGATAATGGAGCAAGTAATTAAGGAATTCATCTGCAAACATCTGGAAGATAAGGTGATAGGTAACAGCCAGCATGGATTTGTAAAGAATAAATCATGTCAAACCAATTTGATAGCTTTCTTTGATAGGATGAGTCTTGTGGATAAGTGAGAAGCGGTGAACAGGATTTACCTAGATTTTAGTAAAGCAGTTGATATGGTCTCATAGGATATCAATAAACAAGGTATATACAACTTGGATGGGGCTACGGTAAGGTGGGTGCATAACGGGCAGGATCACTGGTCTCAGAGTGGTTAACAGTTCACAATCCTGCTGGAAGGGCATAACAAGTGGGGTTCTACAGGGGTCTGCTTTGGGACTGGTTCTGTTCAATATCTTCAATGATTTATCATAGGATCCATCCAATCCCAGCCGTTCTTCGCACCCCCCTGGGAATTAGGGATGTTTTGGGGAGCGAGCCACCATATGAAGTGAAGACCTCGGCCCAAAAGCCGGGAGCAGGTCAGCAGTGGAGTTGGGAAACAGAGTCAAGAAAAGCTGGCACCAGGCTCTGTGCTTGGAGCACTGGCTGATGCTTCCTCCCCACACCCAGGCCTAAGTGCTGACCTGTAATTAATTGAGCTCTTCTTCTGGGCTCCCCCGCCCATCACAAACACTTCCACAGACAGCCCCACACCGGCTCATCTGCTACCCCCAGCCCGAACGCACTGGGTCCTCCACTGGAGGAACTGGTTGAGAATTTGAAAGTGGAAGACAGCTTGGGTGAAAGTGATCATGAAATCATAGAGTTCACAATTTTAAGGAAGGGTAGAAGGGAGAACAGCAGAACAGAGACAATGGATTTCAGGAAGGTGGATTTTGGTAAGCTCAAGAGAGCTGATAGGTAAGGTGCCATGGGAATCGAGACCAAGGGGAAAAACAGTTGAGGAGAGTTGGCAGTTTTTCAAAGGGCCCAAAAGCAAGCTATTCCGATATGTCGGAAAGATAGAAAATATGGCAAAAGACCATCTTGGCTTAAACACGAGATCTTTCATGATCTAAAAATAAGGAGTCATATACAAAATGGAAAGTAGGACAAATTACAAAGGATGAATATAGGCAAACAGCACAGGAATGCAAGGGCAAGATTAGAAAGGCAAAGGCACAGAATGAGCTCAGACTAGCTACCGGAATAAAGAGAAACAAGAAGACTTTTTATAAATACATTAGAAGCAAGAGGAAGACCAAGGAGAGGGTAGGCCCACTGGTCAGGTGAGGAGGGAGAAACAGTAACAGGAAACTTGGAAATGGCAGAGATGCTCAATGACTTCTTTGTTTCGGTCTTCACCGAGAAGTCTGTAGGAATGCCTAACATAGTGAATGCTAGTGGGAAGGGGGTAGTTTTAGACGGTAAAATAAAAAAGGAACAAGTTAAAAATCACCTAGAAAAGTTAGATGCCTGCAAGTCACCAGGGCCTGATGAAATGCATCCTAGAATACTCAAGGAGCTGATAGAGGAGGTATCATCTTTGGAAAATCATGGGAGACAGGAAAGATTCCAGAGGACTGGAAAAGGGCAAATATAGTACCCATCTATAAAAAGGGAAATAAGAACAACCCAGGAAACTACAGACCAGTTAGTTTAACTTCTGTGCCAGGGAAGATAATGGAGCAAGTAATTAAGGAAATAGTCTGTAAACACTTGGAAAGTGGCAAGGTGATAGGGAACAGCCAGCATGGATTTTTAAAGAACAAATCATGTCAAACTAATCTGACAGCTTTCTTTAATAGGATAACGAGTCTTGTGGATAAGGGAGAAGCGGTGGATGTGGTATACCTAGACTTCAGTAAGGCATTTGATATGGTCTCGCATGATATTCTTATCAATAAACTAGGTAAATACAATTTAGATGGGACTACTATAACGTGGGTGCATAACTGGCTGGATAACCGTACTCAGAGAGTAGTTATGAATGGTTCACAATCCTGCTGGAAAGGTATAACAAGTGGGATTTCGCAGGGGTCTGTTTTGGGACCGGCTCTGTTCAATATCTTCATCAACGATTTAGATATTAGTATAGAAAGTACACTTATTACGTTTGCAGATGATACCAAGCTGGGAGGGATTGCGACTAATCTGGAGGATAGGGCCATAATTCAAAATGACCTGGACAAATTGGAGAAATGGTCTAAGGTAAATAGGATGAAGTTTAATAAAGACAAATGCAAAGTGCTCCATTTAGGAAGGAACAATCAGTTTCATACATACAGAATGTGAAGCGACTGTCTGGGAAGGAATACGACAGAAAGGGATCTAGGGGTCATAGTGGACCACAAGCTGAATATGAGTCAGCAGTATGATGCTGTTGCAAAGAAAGCAAACATGATTCTGGGATGCATTCACAGGTGTATTGTGAGTAAGACAGGAGAAGTCATTCTTCCACTCTATTCTGCGTTGGTTAGGCCTCAATTGGAGTACTGTGTTCAGTTCTGGGCACCGCATTTCAAGAAAGATGTGGAGAAATTGGAGAGGGTCCAGAGAAGAGCAACAAGAATGATTAACAGTCTAGAGAACATGACCTATGAGGGAAGGCTGAAGGAATTGGGTTTGTTTAATTTAGAAAAGAGAAGATCGAGGGGGGACATGATAGTTTTCAGATATCTAAAAGGGTGTCATAAGGAAGAGGGAGAAAACTTGTTCTATCCACAGAGGCCAAGATGAACAAGCAGCAATGGGCTTCAACTGCAGTAAGGGAGGTTTAGGTTGGACATTAGGAAAAAGTTCCAACTGTCAGGGTAGTCAAACACTGGAATAAATTGCCCAGGGAGGTTGTGGAATCTCCATCTGTGGAGATATTTAAGAGTAGGTTAAAGAAATGTCTATCAGGGATGCTCTAGACAGTATTTGGTCCTGCTGTGAGGGCAGGGTACTAGACTCGATAACCTCTGGAGGTCCCTTCCAGTCCTAGTATTCTATGATTTATACACAGCTGGGAGGTGGCTCCACAGGAGCTGGCTTTCTGCATGCATCAACTCTGCTTCCATCTGACGACTCTCCCCTGCAGTTAACTGTTTACACTATCACATCTCTAATTGCTAGAGGAGTTCCTCTATGGGTATTGCCAGGGGAAAAATCTTCTAGCACCAGTGCACATGGTTAGCAAGCAAACCAACTGTGGAATGCACATAAGCAATTACTCAAACAAAACCAAATATGACCGATACAACAGAGAGTCCAAAATTATGTTTCCTCTCTTAGTAAAACACACCTCCCTCAAGATCAACCTCTCAGCATGAGTCTAGTGTTGTTGCGCTTGTGCCCAATATTATAGTAACACATTCAGTAAAAATTGACCAAATTGGGGCAGACACTCACACACTCTTTTAGGCCTCAATTAAAAAAAACTGCTTATGTGTGTTTAAAATTATGCATATATGCATCTTGCTGAACTGGACTGCAGTGCAGATTTTGATTCATATTAAGACAGCATATAGGCTAGGATGTTCCTTGCATCTAGGAAAGTTAACTTGCAGTTAATCTTGAGTATCCTGACTGAAAACATGCCTTCCACCTCAATGTCCTCAGGCAGGAGAGAAGGATTTTGGTTGCTCAGCCTTCTACTTAGTTAAATTCTTACTCCAACACTAAAGGACACAGTTGCACCCAAAGCACAGGCTCCCTATAACAAAAGAACTATTTTTTCCACTCAGAACTAAATCTGACAGCCAAGCTGTCTTTTGAGAAGCCACACTTTAAAATGGTATTCTTAGCAAGACAACCCTAAAACATTTTCTCTCCTGGATCAGTGCATTAAAAAAAAAAAGTCCCATTAGCCAAAAAAGGCTTGCTTTGTTCTACCAACTCTTTGACTCTTCTCTGTCACCCCAAACAAAACTGATTCACTAAATACTATTTACCATGCAGGCCTCCATTAGGGCTGTGTGCATCTCATCTGTTTTATGTTCTTGATCAGCTCCAGCTTCAAGCAGAAAACGAACCATATCTAAATGGCCTTCAAACACAAAAGAAAACAATGTGTTACAAACATTAATAAAGGGTTTAGTCAAAATATAATTTATATTTTTGTAGGTATTATAATTTGTAAATACACTGCTATTTTGGCAGAACACAAGAGAGGCTTCAACATTATAACACTGTACGAGCGGTCTTATCAGTTAAGATTTTAACTTCTGGCTATGCAAAGTTTATTCTTTTAAAACCAATCCCTGTTAAATAAAACCCTGTTAAAATCCTGCCTTGAAACTTCAAACTATAAACAAATAGCATGTGCGTTCTAGTTGCCCACATAGTTTAAGTACTACATGGATTGGCAAAAAAGTGAGGAAAGGAGAAAAATCAACCTAGAAGGTAAAAAACCCTTCCAGAAAAGAATATGAAGTTATAACAGGTTAAATTTATAACATTACAGATAAGCACTGTTACTCTGGTCTTCTACAACACAATGGCCACAGATGCCTTCGTACCACATTCACAACTGGGATTTTAGTACTCTCTCTCTCTAAAGGAGAAACAGAAAGCATGTGTATAGAACACCATTTGCAACAAGACTCAGGCTACGTCTAGACTGCAGGCTTCTTTCATAAGCTTTTCCAGAAAAGCTCTTCCAAAAAAGCTTCCAGAAGAGCATCCACACTGCCAAAGCGCATCAAAAAGTGATCTGCTTCTTCGAAAGATAGCGTCCACACTGAATGGACGCTCTCGCATTTAAGCTGTGATTACTACGGACGGAGTAGCCACCAGTGCACCTGTGCTTTTTCCTCTTCTTTTGAAAGGACTCCCTCTTCCCTGTCCATACACGCCTTTTTCCAAAAGAGTTATTTTGGAAAAAGGATTCTTCCGTGTAGAAAGAGGTTTCCCAATGTTGGAAAAACCCCTCTGTTCTTTTTTTTTTGGGGGGGGGGGGGGGGGAGGAGAAGAGAAATCGAAAGAACGCAACTGCAGTGTGGAAGTGAGTGAAGTTTTTTCAGAAAAGATCTGTAGTGTAGACATACCCCAGGGTTTAGAAAGATGCAGTTTTTGTGGCAACAGCAATGGCCATGACTAAACACATACTTGTTCTTATGTCTCAGATGGGGAGCTATGTTAGTCTGTAACTTTAAAACCAGAAAGTAGTCCTCTGGCACCTTAGAGGCTAACAAAATATATAGTATCATGAGCTTTCATGGATAAGACCTACTTCTTCAGATGAGTTGGAATGGAGTTGTTCTTATGCTGTGTCTTAATGTGATTGGATGGAGCAAGGGTAGAGTATGTGTTAGATATGAGAAAGTTAAGTTGCAAATAATTCCAGATTTCCTGACTTCATTTAGCTTTCTTTAAACTCCAGCACTCTAATTTGGTTCCTGAAGGTATTTTTTTTAAACTTTTACAAAAATTGTCTTGGTATTTTAGTTAGATTCCAAGCATAAACTCTAACAATGTCACATGCGTAATACAATGAAACTTTAAAAAAAAAATACAAAAGGTGAAGAGTCACTTAACACTTCCACACAAACCAAGATTTTAATACCATACCTTTATAGCAAGCTAGTGTAAGTGCACTTTCTTTGAACTCATTGGAATGAGTGTTGATTCCTGCACCATATTCCAGAAGTACTCTCGCAACCTCAACATGACCTGCACTGGCTGCTTCCATTAAAGGAGTATGTCCATTTTCATTATGATCTTCTATATTAGCACCTGCTTTCAATAGCACTTTCACTATGTCAACGAATCCCCCAGCGCAGGCATAAGTGAGTGCTGTGTTCCCTAAGAGAAAATAAAAGAACATACAGTAAATAACTCCCTCCTCCTTCGCCTAACCCCAGCTGCAAATTTTAAAAGTTTTGGCTTAGTTTAACATATAGAATTTTAATTTTCCTAAGTATTTATAACAAATCAACCTAGCAGACCTTTGCACTTCTCTCACCTATGATTTCAGGGGAGGTAGAAGATTCAGAAACAGATTAACAATTAGACATAAGTATGATCATCAAACAGTGTACTAGTTCCAGGACTCCTTTTATCAGTGTAAAAACCTTTTATTTGGCCTATGGTAACTTCTCTAGGAGTCCTAGAGAGACACTCAACAACCCTTTTATTTTATATCTCATGCAAAGGCCATTATTCCTGCTTTGTGTGGCCTCGGTCTTCTGTAAACTATATCTTGGTAATCTCTCTCAGCCAAGACAGTCAAGTTCTGACTAACTAGCTCACACCTCCCTCAGCATTTTTCACCATAAATGGTAGGCATGTAAGTGATTTAACCTTTCATTCTATATTTTCTTCCATTTTTGCCTTCACCCACCACCTTCTTCCTATACAGAATCTGTTACAAAAGCTTTCTGTATTTCGCAAGGACACTAAGGTCATCGCATTATCCGGTTTCGGAAACTGACCACATTTTGTCTATTAGCAATATCACTAAGCACAGAGGTGGGCCGGGACAGCAGTCCACTGCCAATGGGAGCTGCGATCCCACATACCGGTGGTCAGTGTAGGGACCCACAAGGGGCTAGCCCTGGCAAACTGGATCTGTCCAGAGAGCTGGTATTTGCCCACGCCAACTTACCCACTGCCCAGATGAAATGTGTGGCTTATTTTAGTACCACTTTTCCAAACCTTCCAACATTTTACTTTTCTAGGAGTCCTAGAGAGACACTCAACAACCCTTTTATCTTATCTCTCATTCAAAGGCCATTTTTTCTTTCTTTTTTTTCCTTGGAAGAGGGATGGTAAACCACTGGTTTACTTGCCCAAACTCACTATTTATACCACTGATTTATAGTATCCTTGAAAACTTATGGATTTCATTTTCAGGAAAGCACCTTGTTTATCTCAAGCACCTGAGTCCATTTCAGCAGACTACAGATTCAATTTATGCTATTCAGAACAGCTCATTTTCCCTCTAAGCAAATTTCAGTTATAAACACCTCTAATTATGGCATAGAATATTTAATGTGCAAATGAGTCACCTGCCAGGACTTCAGCCTCTTTCATTCTGCTAGACAACGGATTCTCAATAGGGATTGTAAATCCCAGTTAATCAGTTAGCTAGTTAAATGTTATACGTTTAACCGATTTAACAGGGACAGGCAGGGGCTGCTCCAGCTGGGGTAGAGTGCCTCTCCACAGGGCTGTGGCAGCCCTTTTGTCCACCATTCACATCCCTAGTTTTCAATCAGTGGTACAGACACTGCTGGGGATATGCAGAAATCTTCCAGAGGGTACATCAACTCACCTAGATAATTTGCATAGTTTTACCACAGGCTACATAAAAAGCTCTAGTGAAGTCAGTACAAGTTAACATTTCATACAGGTAATGACTTGTTCATACTGCTCTACAGACTATACAGTGAAACAAAAGTACAGTATTTATCAAATCAATTCGAATTTAATATCTCTATATATATACACATGAAAGTTTTTCCTTAGGGCAACAGTGACATCACCACATCACTATATCACCCCTTCCCCTAGCCTGGGAGTCCCCAGAAAGGGAAGAGGCGGCAATGATTCAGGGTTCTTCTCCTCCATCTTGGGGTTCTCTCTCCTCCATCGAAGGAGGGCCGGGGGCAGCAGTAGCAGCTCCCCGCTGTGGGGGGGGCCCTGACACTCCTGGACTCAATGGGGAACTGCTTCCGCCGGCTGCTTGGACCAGGTACACTGGGGCTGCCACATACCTGGAGCTCCAGCCTGGAATCCTGCCCCCGCACCCCCAACATGATTAGTGCGCTAGTGCCAGCTTCCCATAGGGTAGTGGGGAGAGGAGAAAACCCTGAGGCTGTGCGCCAGAGGTGGCTTTCAGAGAAGCATGAGCACTGCTGTGGCGAGAGGTGGCCTGAGAGCCTAGGGGGGAAGACCGGGGAGGGTGATGGGGGGGCTGAGAGGGGAGGGCTGTGGTGGATGGACTTGAGGCTGGAGCTGGCATGGCCCAAAGAGGGAGAGTCAGGCTTGCTTACCCCAAAGAGAGGGGGGGTTGGCGAGCATGGCAAGCAGGGGGCACAGCCCCCTAGTTATATATGGTAGAATGAAAAGTAAGCAATTTTTGGTGTGTGCAGTGATGCTTTGGTATCTTTATATCTGATTTGTAAGCAAGAGGTTTTAAGTGAAGTGAAAGAGGAAGCTATTTACCGGGCAGTAACTGACATTCAAGATGTGTCCTCTGTGGGTACTTTACTCCAGCTGTTGGCACTTCCTTACGTTGTCACTCAAATTTCTGCAGCAGTGACCATAGGGGCCGCACATACGCTGTGCTTGACTCATACACCAATGGTGCCCCAATAGTGTGTGTGTGCAGCCAATCTCCTTATTTCCTTCTCTACAACAGAGACCCCTCCAAATGCGAAAGTAGAGTAGAGGAGGGTAGGCAGTGGAGTACCACTCTTTTCAAAGAATGTCAATTACTGCAGCTCTGGTATTAATTACTGAATTATCTCAAAAGGTCAGACTTAATTTGTTCCCATTTGTTTTACTGGTGACCCTATTTCACAGGGGTCTTCAGTGGATAAAATGCCTTTGCAGCAGAATTAAGGACTAAGAAAGAGCCACCTGATTTCACTCTGGTGTTCAGTTTCAGATGAACAATGAAGGCTCCTGTTTGGTGCTGTGTAACAGTTATGATTGTTTTACCCTTAGAACTGAAGTAATTTCTACTGTATTTTCTATTAAATGAAAGCACGGAATACTTAAAAAAAGCAGAGTTCAAAACATGCAAACAGGCTGGGACTGATAAGTGCTAATCTTACGCAATTCAGCCATTTTGCTGTTCCATGCCTACCTGTTGAAGACTGGGCATTGACATCGGCACAATGAACAAGTAGCAGTTTTACAATGTCTACATAGCCTCCGCTTGCAGCTGCCATCAATGGGGTTATGTCTCCTTTATTCCCTCGATCTTCAACATTCGCATGCATCGCGAGTAGCACCTAAACAAACAGAAGTTAAAACTCCTTTATGTTATGTTTTACTTTTAATTCTGAAGGACCCAGGATATGTCTAACTACTAACCTTAGCTGCCCTATATTAGATTAGCTTAGTCACCACAAAAATTACTCTCCTTGGGTTGGTGGGGCAAGTCCTCACCAGGAGCACTTCCACCAACCTAAGAGGAGCAGTTTGGGGGCTCAAAGCATTGCTCCTCAGCTCCACTGACTCTTCTCTGCCACAGGCCTGGCTGCCCTTCCTGCTCCTGGTGGGCTTTTTAGCCCCCGCACCTGCTACCAGAAAGTAGCTTTGTCAATTTCACAGCTTACCAAGCCCTGAAATACACAAAACTTCCAGGCTCTGAGCTGAGATTGGGGTTCAAAGACACTCTGGCTTTTCATCCCCACTTCCAGCTAGGGTCAGGGTCCAAAGGTCGCCAAGGCTTCTTACCACAGCTCCTACCCAGAAGCAGAGTCCAGCTGCCCATCTCTCTAGGGGAATAGTATCATTCTTTTCAATTTCATGGCTCCTGCTGTGACATTGACAAAACAGCCTAAGACACTGCATTGCCATAACTGCAGTGACAACTCCACTTCCACAAGAGAGGCATAAGACTTATGTCAGTGTATTAAAACACTTATATCCATTGGAAAGAAGGCTTTAGTGTAGACACTAACTTAATTACCATCAACATAAGCTGCCTTATGCCCATCTAACTGTGTAGCAGAGACCATACCTAAGAACTATTCTCCTTTTTTCCCCTCCCTGCTATTTTTAAAATGCTTTATACCACAGTGATCCTACCTCAGGTAAAGAGCCAGTTATGGATCTGTCCAGAGCCAGTCATGACTGCTACTTGAATCTACCCAAGTAGAGCACTATGCTTCTTTCTTCCACATTTTTTGCATATTACAATATTTAAAGTCAAAATATAAGCAAAGACTGCAACATACAATCAAGATTGTCAAATACTTCAGATTGGGATAAACCTCTGCAGGTAAATTGAACAAATTTGTGCTGGAATCATTAATGCACAAATGTAAAATATCTCAGTTGTAGCACTCTCTCTGAGATTTCTCCCAATCAATGTCTTTTGGGATCACCAAGTCAAGCTAGCTGCTTTCTGGTTTGTGAATCACCACAACCACTCCTATAGCCTTTAATGGAGATACACAGGTGTAACTGAAGGAAGAATTCAGACACACTGGAGTTACAATTTAGTTAACAATGTTGATGTATTAGTCAGAAAGAAGTCCCAGCCTTTTTGGGTGGTTTTTTGTTTGTGGCTGTGTAGTCACCTTTAGGGACTGAATCTCAGAATGTCTATTTGGCACCATAGCTGGAATATTTCTGGAGTGATATGCCTGGGAACTAGAGGCAGATTGAAAGTTGCACCTTGTATATGTGTTTGTTCAAACTAGTCCATCTCTGTTGTGGCATGTCTTAATTTGTTACCCCCCTCCTCTTTAGATTGAGGGTTTGTAAAGCATATTTAGTGGGAAACTGTCTAACAGACTATTGAACATGCAATAAAAGTGAATTGCATTAGGTTTTAGTCCATAGTCCTTTTAGAGTACAAAATCCATTTCAAATCAAAAGGATTAATATGTTTGACTTCCAAAGAATTTCAAGCATACAGTACTCTGTATTTAAAGTCTCGGCCATAAGTGACTGTACTTACTTGTGCCAATTCATAGTACCCAGCGGAACAAGCCAAGCAAAGGAGACTCTCCCCTTCTTCAGTATGCTCATTTACACTTCTTCCTTCATCCAGCAGCTTCCGGACAGCATTCACATCCCCATCTGAGCATGCTTCTGCCAAACTGCGACTGGAAGAGTATCATGCAATGAACACAGGAATAATTCTACAAGCAGCAGGCAGTGAACTTTCTGATAAACTATAAAGTCAAGTTATACAGTGAAAAACTTCTGCTTCAATAACATGCTAGCTTTCTGTTTAGCACTTTGCAAGAAAGTCTGCCAGAACATGATACAGAAAGGCAAAGTGCTTTTCAAAACACCACCTGAACATTGTGTTGGAGTGTTCACAGATGGCCTAAATGAGAGAGAAAGGATCCATCTACAACAGGAATTTGCTCTGATTTTGAATTAAGTGGCTAGCAACTGACAGCTTCATTGCAGCAAATCCCAAGTCCAGACAAGTAAGACTATAACATGCACTAGCACAGCTCCTCCCAGTGTAAAGCAAAGTAGCTCCACTAGGGCAAGTTGGAGCTTTCCTGTTTACATCTGAGGTTTACACTGGGGCAGCTTGGACAGCAGCTAGCCACTGACTGCAAGAATGGTAAATCCTGGTAAATCCCCAGGACAGACAATGCTTAAGTGACCTTCCTAAGATGACACTGACTTCTGTTGCAGAACTAGGAATAAACCAGACCTCCAATCTGACAATTCTCTACTTTAGCCATCTGACTTCTCTGCTACTGCCTGAACTATTTTATTGGAAGGGAGAGGGGGAATTAAGTAAACCATTTTAAATAAAACATTCATATGACAGAAATTATCCTTGAAAATACCAAAGAAACTCAAGCCACTGATGTCTGCAGACTATCTGCAATAGAACATTACTACAATATGCCTATTGGATAGATTTATTATTTTTTAACATTCCCTCATACTAGGATACCTAGATTAATAATGCAAGGAAAGGAGGTGGAATCGCATTCACAATCTAAGGAAAATGTAGGCAGTCTAGTGAAGTCACTGTACCTCTCATTCCAAAATGAGAAAGTACCAACGTAGAAGTATAAAATATATTGGAAACTGACTGATGTGTCAATTCAAGATGATACAAAAGGGCAAAGGTCCTTATGTGATATTACTATCCTCTAATATGGAGACAGGATCCCCACCTCTTGTCATCATAAAAAGGGTCAAGAAATACTTAACCATTACCTTAAACAGCAGCTATGGTGGACTGCAGTGGAGTCTAGTGTACTTAATACATCTTCCAAAAACAGATATGTTGATTGAGAGACCTCAGATACCTTAAACTAACATACTCAAGAGAATATGTGAGAATAGGGTTGGGTCTGAATAAGATATTACCTTTATAAAGGCAGTTTACTTAGTCTTTAAATAGAAAAGTCTCTTAACAGAAGACAATTTGGAGAATAGAGATGACGAAAAACCAAGAACATGGGATCTCTTGCAAACTGAAATAAAGAATCCTCCCCACTAGTCTAGAACTCAAAGGGCCGATAAATTCAAGCTAAGCCCTGGCTTCTAATGAACAACCCACTTCCGACATGTCAGGAGTGGGTTACTGCTGAGGGCATGCTGTGCCAAAAATTAAAAATGCTGCGCTAAAAATTCTGCAAGCTTTATTTGTTAATACATAAATACAGAGGCTCCAGCATGGCGGGGGGAGCACAGGCCTACACGAGGGGTGGAAGATCATCCTGCAGCACCCACACCCCCAGGACATTGACTCAGTGGTGAGGCAGCACCTGACCCTGACAGCACAAGGCCTGGGCCTGCCTCCAACTCCCTGGGGTCATAGCCCTCTGTGCTAGTCTTCAGCCAGGTTAAGCCAACTTGCTCCCACAAGGTCTGAATACACAGGGGTTGGGTGGCGGGGGAAGCAGCTCTCCATACAGTCACCCCGCCCCCCCCACAGATGAGCGATGGGGGCAGGACACAGCCCCAGCTGTTTCTGGCAAGAGAAAAAGAAATCTTGTCCTCTACTACCTCCAGCCCAGTCAGAACTAGCAGCTGACCCCAGCTCAGGGTAGGAGCCACCGGCTGGATGTCTCCAGCCCTGTGATGATTTACCTCTCTGCCAGGTGCGCTGAGTACCTAAAACACTGTACCCGCACTGTTAGAGAGTGGTGCAGGACTGCTCTTGCAGCTTCCCTTGGCCTCCCTGACAAAGGGATTTTTCTGTAGGGAAGCAACAAAGAGGGAAAAACAATAACAGAAAATGGGGAAATGGCAGAGGTGCTTAACAACTTTGTTTCTGTTTTCATCAAGAAGGTTGTTAGAGACTGGACACAGCGAATGCCAGTAAAAGTCGGGTAGGTTCAGAAGTTAAAATAAGAAAAGAACCAATCAGAAGTTACTTAGAAAAGTTAGATGTCTTCAAGACACTACGGCCTGATAGAAATGTATCCTAGAATACTCAAGGATCTTGCCTGCTCCTGTGCCAAAGGAATACAGTTTGTGATTTAATTAATGTTATGTCCATTTCTATATTCCTTGAAAAACCCTTCCCCAGGAACAGCACCTCAAATCTTACGCGCATTGGAGATCTGAGATATGCACAACATAGTATTTCAACACATTTTCTCCAGCCCCCCCTCCACAGGACCACTTGCATGTCAAGTAGCTGAGTGGAAGCTGACAGACATCTTGCCTCAACTTGCAAAAGCTGAAAGTAGGAAATATTGATGCTTCAAGCCCCGCACAGTAATACTTCCCTTTCCCACTGAAGGAGTGCTGTGAAAGCATGCTTCCTCGGGACACAAGACAATCACTTGATTCTGGGGGCACTGAGGCAGCCATGCTCTACTGGTTAATCAAGCTAACAGGTGTGTTGTGGACAAGCACTAGGAAATTTATTTTTTCCTCCAAAACCTTATAGCAATAGCGTCTGACAGATGACTGTCCCATCAGTACTGTCCCAGACAATGAGCTATCTTTTAGTTTCAATAAACTGCAACCCCTGAAGCTGCTGAGGCAGTAGTTACAGCAAACCACTAGCATTTCTGGGTCTGTTTACCTCGCAATTAGATAGTCATATGCCAGATGACTAGGGCTCACTACGGTCAGACATCTGAGCTCAGATTCTAGGACCCTGCAAGATGGAAGGGCCCCAGAATTTTTTCCTCCCTTCCACAGAATAATGTTTATGTGCACCAAAGCATGTGCGAACATGCACCATCAGTAGAAACAAAAGGCCTAGCTGTGGGCACTCTGCTAATCATCAGGGCAGCATCTAAATTTCTCCTAAGTGGCCACACAAGTGCACAGATTACAGGGAACACTGGTCCCAGAGCTCGGGCTGTGGCCCAGTAAGCCCAAGCCCTGCAAGTCTGAGTCAGCTGCAGGTGTCAAGCTGCAGTGTAGACATACCCTCTGTGGGAATGGCAAGGCTGGCTTTCCATTAGAAGCTTTTTTTTTTAAGAAGCTTTTGTTCAGGAGAGACTGACATCACATACCAAATGGGAAGGAAAGCAACTCTCTCAAAAGGTAAGAGAAGGAAGGATGCTACAGTGCATTATTACTACTGTCCCCAGCTAACAACTTGAGGTAAGGTGTGCAATGCCCTGGGATTTGAGAACATGGTTGCTGCCACTAGCAAGGGATTTATGCGACAGAGTTGGAAACTGAAAAGATAATTAAATACAAAGTGGAAAAAAATTCATTTGAAAGTTTACAATGTAGAGATTATAGTTTAAAATGAGTGAAAGGAAGTCATTACATACTTGTCCACTTGTCCTGCATTGTGATTGTTCTCTGCTCTCATCCGTGTCAATGCAGCGGCAGCTTCATCCAATGCACAGCTAACAGAGGAGGTCAGTCTTCGAAGCACCTCAGGATCTGCGAAGGCTTTACCATCGGCAGTGGACAATTTACCAATTCCTTCAGTGTATGTTCGTTCATCAATCAGGTTAGTATGAAAGTCACACAAAAGAAAACGCAAAAATACTATTTTAAATTTCAGTCACATGCACTATTAGTAAAAACTGATCTGCAAACATGCTGGAAAAACCAAATATATTTAAAATAATTGTTAACGTGTCTTTATAATCTGAAAATTTCATTATAACAAAGCAGCAAAGATATGTTCATTTGCATTTGCAGTTGTATTATATGCCCCCAATTTCAAGCTTATACCTTTTGAAAAACTCTTGAGGTGGAGAACAAGCATTGGAAACAAGTTAATGTATGGGAAACGTTGAGGTAATGCCATTAGGCTGTTTTGAGAAATACTTTTCCACTCCAATTTTCTGCTCCACAATTTACAACTTTATAAAAAAAAAAAATCAAAGCTTCCAGTGGGTTTAGTTATCAACAAGGATAAATGCTTTTAACAAGCTTGAAAAAGTTTAACAAACTACAGGCAGCCCTCGGGTTACGTACAAGATAGGACTGTAGGTTTGTTCTTAAGTTGAATTTGTATGCAAGTCGGAACTGGCGTCCAGATTCAGCCGCTGCTGAAACTGACCAGCGGCTGACTACAGGAAGCCCGAGGCAGAGTTGCTCTGCCCTGGGCTTCCTGTCTCCCCGGTCTGCTGCCCCCCCCTCAGCAGACCAGGGAGATGCTGTGACAGCGCGTTGGGGGTCCCCCGTCTCCTGCACCCTGAAATGGCACGAACAGACTTCACCAGCCAGTAGAATACAGGTGGTTTATTGCTTCTTCACGATACAGCACAGAACAGATGTAATCTAGTTACAGGAACTGGGGGCTAAGAGGCCTCAGTGCCCCCCTTGAGATAGGGGAATCCCAGCTCCTTCCCCAGTTCCTTCTCCCCTGCTTTCCAGCCAGGCACTAACTCCACCTCTCCAAGCCCTGCCCCCAGCCTGGGCAGCATTCCACCTCCCTTTGTTTCTCCCCATGGGGGGTTGGTTCAACCGGTATGGAGTCACCTTTGCATAATAAGGTTTTCCCTGCTGGGTCTTGCTTCAGACAGAAGAGGTCACCACAGCCCAGCAAGTACCCCCACTACGTCACAGATGCGGAGCAGCTTTTCTCGCCCCGGAGGGCGGTGGGACCGCGGCGCATCTGGGTGTCCCGCCGCTCGCGTCCTCCGGGGCGAGAAAAGCCCCGTTCGTAACTGCGGATCTGACATAAGTCGGATCTGCGTAACTCGGGGACTGCCTGTAATTGTTTGATCTTCCAATAGATTAATGTACTCAAGTGCAGAGAACCAGCTAAAGCCTCAATAAAGTATCTTACAATGTCGTCAAAAGGTAATGTTTTGAATGACTGTGGACTAGGGATGTTACATGTTGTGTATTTTAGTAATCGCGTATCCACAACCATTTGTAGCAGATACACGGTTACTAAAATACTTCCTGGGGCTGGCAGTCAGTGCACTTCTGGCCCCACACCTGGGGAGCCTCTTGCCATCCTACATTGTTGCCTCTGTATCAGAGGCAGCAGCAAGAGGTGGCACGTGGAGCCAGTCCACAAGAGGAGCCAGTTTAAAAATTGGTTCTCTGTGCAGACCAGCTGTGGGGTGGCAGCAGCCTCTGTCTGAAAGGGGACTGAACACCTTGCAGAAGAGGCTGCGCCAGCATCTTGCCTGCCCCTCAGCGCACTGTTACCTCTGATACAGAGGGGTGGTTCCACAGGAATCAGCACACACCAGAAGCTGGCTTAAAAGCCAGCTCCACACGGGCACCAGCTCCTGCTTCCCCTCCAACCTTGCTGTCTGATACACAGGCAGCAAAGAGGGGGTGTACTGTGTCGTTTGGATTAACTGACTAGTCAAGACCTATCGGTTACTCATTTAAATGGCTATATGCTAACATCCCAACTGTGGACAGTAATTTTTAATCCCAGCGAAATTTGAATCAGTTTATTTAAAAAGAAAAGGTAGTTTAGCACCAGTTGTGAAGCTGACCTTTAGAATAAGGTGATGCACTTCTGAATCTGCAGACTGGCATACAACAGCACCAAAAGAAAGGGACACTTCTCTCATATCTCAATGTCACTCAAATGCCAGCAATGCAGTTATTTTCACTGCTGATGTGAATTCTAGAACAACTCTTAAGTTTATACCACTTAACTGATTGTACCCAAGGACACTCTGAGTTTAGGTATGGTCTATTCTATACATGTAAATGCTCTGGCATAACTGTACTTGCAGCATAAACTCAAATCTGCAAGTACAAACATTCAACTAGTCAAGTGTCAGGAAACACACTGACTTACTGTGTAAGTGTTTACAGCAGTGGGTCCCAAACTGTCCGTCATTACCCACAGTATGGTCCTGAAAGAGGACCAGGAAGGTCTTCAGATAAGGGAATAAAAAGATGCAAGAAAGCTCCTAAACAGCTACAAGGGTAGTGCCATCTACCATTGGAGCATTAGGATATGGCTACAAAGCATTTTGAAGTGAGCCTTCCAGCCTGAATTCAGAGAGTTGGGTTAGTGGAGACTGCCCTACATGCAGCAGTTTGAAGCTGTGGTTCCAGCGAAGGTTCAGGCTTTGAAGCCCAGCCTCTTCCATAGAATCGGAGTCTGGGTTTCAGAGCTGAACTCCTGCTAGCCTACACCTGCAGACCGCAGCTAGGAGGCTTGCTCCAAAATGCTGCCTATTGCAGCTCAAAGCACTCAGACTCTCAGCTGAAACCAGGCAGGACACCTAGGAAGCGCCACCCGCTGCCAGAGCAATGTAACTCTCAGTGGCAGCAGCATACCTTCCTATGGCCAGCAGCAGGTCACAAGTTCATTGTGGAGGATGCAAAAGCAATGTGGGGAGATTGGGAAAGAGAGGAAGACTGATGCAATCCCTTTCCTCCAGCACATGGGGCAGCAGGCCAACTAAAAGTGGGCTGGATGCGACCTCAACCATCAGACCAAACAAGGGTCGGAAAGGTTGAGGGCCCCCATTGGATGCCCTTTGTGACTGCACACTGGTGGCCTGGCTACCCACTCAAAGTTTTCCAAGTTAATTCTTAAGACAAAGCATTCTTTTATGCAAAGTCAACCTGAATACTAAGGTGCCAGGAGAGTCATGAGACTAGCAGTGATAACGGGCACCACTGCAGGAACAATGTGGGAACCACTAGCCTACACATTACTGGAAACTAACAGGGATAGAAATGTAGCCGTGTTAGTCTGGGGTAGCTGAAGCAAAATGCAGGACAATGTAGCACTTTAAAGACTAACAAGATGGTTTATTAGGTGATGAGCTTTCGTGGGCCAGACCCACTTCCTCAGATCAAATAGTGGAAGAAAGTAGTCACAACCATATATACCAAAGGATACAATTAAAAAAAAAGTGTTACCGTTTGAGTTAGCCAATAAGCATGAGCTTATCGGTATCCTTTTAAATGCCTACACTCCTATATCATTACTTTAAAGAAGTTATTCAAGTAGTTCTTTTGTATTGCTTCTTGAAAGGGAACTTGGCAGCAACTATATTTATGAGTTTCAGTAACAGATTTAGGCTTTGTTTTGTTTTTTCTAAAGAAATGTATGTCTAGGATGTTCTTAGGTAAGTGTTTGGTTAGCTTGTCTGACGTTCGACGGAGTATGATCATCCAGCTGTGCGTGCGTGTGGTTGTTCTCATGCTCACAGCATTAGAGGGCAGGACCAAGTCTTTGATATGGCGACAAAACAGTTTTGTCTGACTCTTGCCTTTTGGACATGGATATCTTTCTAAATAACTATGTAAAAATATAGACTCTAATGCCAAGCTCTCAATTTTTATTCTGTCCTTTTTCACTGAAACGTTACAAATGCTTCCCTTGCTTTAAGTGGGGCGGCCAAATTTACTTGCCCTCCTAGCCTCTTGTGACAGTCTTCGGCAATTTGAGAGCTGCGGCACATGTGCCAGGACTTGGGGCTTCAGCCCCATCCCTGTTGAAACCCAAGCCCCAACAGACATGCCCTGCAGGGCTGAAGACCCAAGACTCCACCTCACTCCACTGGGTAGACACCCCTACCCCACTGTAAGGAAGAGGTTCCAAGCTCTACTCTTTGCAGTTTGGTAGGTGGCGAATAGGAGTGGGGTGCAACAGGGCATGGAGGGATCCATGAACAGCACTTTATTTGTGAAAGAGGTGTGTGTGGCTTACTAACCATCCCTGATTCAAAGGATTAATGCCCACAAAACAGATATCATTGTCCTGCATTTTGCTTCTGGAAACTAACAATGATTCAAGAATAGCAAAGGTAGGTCATCTTCAATAAGCTAAGCAACAGAGTCATCTTTTAAAATGGCTCAGTTAGGCATTTAACTGCAGAAGTAATCATGCTAGAAAAACACCGGTGAAACCTTAAGATTTGCCATATGCACATCTTCTGATTCTTTTGAAATTCAGCTATGTTTTCTATGTGTCACGTGCTAACCCTGAGCATAGCATTAATTACAATGAGTTCAATGCAACAGGCAACCAAAAATTAGAGATAAAAGAAACCTATTAAGCTCATGAAATTCACCGCCTCACCAGTATGGAGATTCACAATTATACATGAGTGTCTTTCCAAATTTCTCTAAACTGGAACCAATTTAGGGTGGCTTATGCTAGACCTAGGTCAAACATATAACTTGACCACACTGGACTATCTTGCACAGCTCTAGAATTTCTGCAGTTGGGTCCTATGCTGCTATTGCAACTGAATACTTAGTTGCATAGATACAAGCCCAGAATAAGGATGTTAAGGACTAGTCAATCACCACACCTTTGCTGCCTCTATATAATAGAGGCAGCAAGCGCGGTGGGGAGAAGGTACTTCGAAGCAGTAGTGCCGCATGGAGCCCAGGATCAGCTGGGGACTTCACCTGACTCTGGGTTCCGCGGAAATGCTACAGGGAATCCAGGGTCAGCTAGAGAGTCCGCAGCTGACCCCAGTTTCTACAGAAATGCGACATGGAACTTGAGCTCCGTGTGGCATTTCAAAGTG